TAAACCAGTTTTATTAAGTAAGGACTTGTGTTGCTAAAGTTTCGTCGGAACGAAGTTACGGAAAATCAATTAACAAACGGAGACGTAACAGTAGATTATTACTGTTAGAGATACTGGTGTGATTCTTTTATATTAAATTCATTTCTGTTAGCCTCGTTTCTTGTATCTCATCCGAAGGTACCAGGTAAACCTGGTGAAACATTGTGACATAATATAAGTTTTACTGTGTAAAACCGACAAAACCTTGCTGAAATTTAAAAAACAGCCTGACTTCTTTCTGATATTTAAAACACGTTTTTTATTTCAGTTATACTACGAGGATTCTTCCTTTAGGTATTTAAAATAATCTTCTAGTCGCGTGAAGCAAGAAAAACAATAAATTTAACTAACAATGTTATTGAGTAGTTAGAAATAGTATCAAGGAAGGAAAGGAAATTAAGGGTATAAACCTTTATAGTTATAAATAAACATTCTATTTACAAGGTTGCTTATTTAGAAAAATATTGTTTTCACAACAGTTGCATTAAAACACATTAAATTTATGTGACGACTGTGTAGAGCATTCTTTTGATCTTGTATTTTCAATTGTTCGCTCATTTCAGAAAAGTTTATATATTATTATTATTGTATTCTGTTAAATATATTATTGTTATTATAATGTGAGATCATAACGTGTTTTATTTATCTTTCATAAAATTGAAAGTAATTGGCATAATATTTTATAGTAACTACTAGTACTAACAGTCATTTTCGACCAGAATTGTGACCAATTTAGAGTAACAATGAAATTTGTTGTTCCAAAGCAGTAGTTGAGTTGGAAACTTGCTGTTAACACTAGAAAAATGTTAACTTTAAACAGCGTTTCTCAAACTGTGGTCCTGAGAAAAAAGGAGTCGCAAGGGAGATAGCGAGATCGTAAAAATATTATGATAACAGATATTTCAGAGAATGTACAGTAATTGGCTATCACTTTGTGTGTGTAGGGAGGGAATGGTCTTCACAGCCTGAAACATTTTTAAAGGGTGACCCAGCAAAAAAGTCTGAGAACCTTTGATCTAGAAGATGATTTATTAAGCAGCATTTCGAGCCTAACTCCCTCATCGGGTGATATTTAAACAGTCGCTGATGAAGGGCTACTATTTTTTTTTCTAACTTGTTAAACTTTTGTATGCAGCTTCTTCTCTTCAGTTTTTGTTTGTTTGGAAACACGCTAGCCTTTATTGACACTTGCATAGAGAAGTATAAGTCTTTGAAGAATTATAGTTAATGCTGGTGTTTTAAATTTAACAAAAATTCTCGGATATTGTAAATCCGTAAAAATGATCAGTTTTTATTGTTCCAAGGTAGAATGTCTGCACTGCAAAGCTCGTGTATCATTTTGTTGTGTTTAATTTACAAGTTTTCCTAGACTGCTTTCGTCATTTCTAAAACACTGTAAAATTGGCTGATCAGGGAAAAAAATCTTTGTTGTACGATATCCGATATCTAAACAATAAGTTTACACTTGTTACTTCCTTTCGTGTTTGGTAGATGTCTTCCATTCATTATTACTAAATACATGAGATGAGGCATGCTTGTTTTGTAAAATTTTGTAGCTTTTTAAATACATTTTAGTTGTCCATATACATCTCGGTATTCGAGAAAAAAATAGCAAGTAAATCTTAATCTTAGTTCCTAATCACCCAGTAGTGGGGTGATTAGGAACACTTGATAAATGAAAAAAACTGGACCCTGTGATATTCCAATGAGATCCAGTTGGGCTACAACTGGCTCACCTATCCACCAATTTTATTTATCTTGCAGTCATAACCTGAGAATTGCGAGCCATGGATGTGTTGCCGTTCGGAAAAATCTGTACCTACTCACCACTTTTTTTTTTTTTGGTATAATTCCTACACTAAAGTCTCTTATTTTGTGCGTCATTTTACTGTGCACTTTGTGTGATTATCACTTTTCTGTTAACCCAATGACACAGAAAAACGTTATTCTCAAAAACTGACCGGTAGGGTAACTTTTCAATTTATTACTATCCAAATTATAGATTGCAAGTCATTCGATTTCTTGTGTTAGGCACTCATATAAAAATACTTCTGCCTTGTCTAATTAAATTTCTAAATATTTGATATATTTTTTTAATATTCTACGTAAAAAAATTTTTGTTTATGTTTTGGTTTTATTGCCCACGCTCATCATTATATTCTATAATTTTATTTTTCTAGCCCTTACTGTGTTCATGTTGGCAGGTCTCATAAGTGCATTATCTAGCATGTATTCCCATTTTAACTACAAGAATTAATGTTCTTGAAAAGTCCTTTTGTAGTATCCAGGGTTTTTGTGTGTGCTTCTGGTACAGAATTATAGTGTGCTTAAACATTCTTGGTGCATTTTCAATGGAGTTAGGAATATTTCTGGCACAGTCTAAGCTCTTGTAATATCAAATTATTTTGGCAATCTTCTTATACAGTGTAAGCTCCTTGTACAGTAGCAATAGATTTGGCAAGCTTCTGGTACAGTCTATGCTCCTGGTGCAGTATCAAAGGGTTTGGACAGACTTCTGATGCAGTTTAAAATGGTTTTAGCAACCTTCTGGTGCAGTATTGAAGCTTATGGTACAGTATAGGTTGTTTTTTTTTTCATTATTAAAAGGGTTTGAGTAAACTTCTGGCACAGTATCAAACATTTTGGGCAAGTATCCAAAGTAAAATTCAGGAACAGAGTACAAAGGAAAGAAGAGACCTTAGCCAAACTCACGGAATATTTGTAAAGACTTGCCCAGTTATCTTACCCAGACGTTCCTCGTGAAATGATATATTTGTGGCATATGATCAATTTACTGATGCCATGACAGAAAATGATACGAAAAACATTGTGTGTGTACATCTTTAAATGAAGCTCTCTAGTTGGCGATGGAACTTGGATTCATTAACTTTACAAATAAAGGAACCATCTAGAAGTTATGGGAGTATCAGATCCTGTAGTATTGAAGGATCAACTTTCCCAAACAGTAGTCTAGAAGAAACTTATCTGACAGCTAGTTACACAGGAAATAACTGGAGGAAAATAGGTGTTTTAAGTGTAACTTGAAACGCAATATTTCGAGCAACTGCAGATTAAACCCATTATGGAACAAAAATTCCTCTCAGAGGATACTAGAAAGATAGAACTATTATAACTGTAGAAAGATGTGGCTATTGCAGTCAAGGCTGTAAGGAATCAACAGCCTATATTAAGCGAAGGTGACAATCCTCTGAGGATGTTTCTCAGAGCCCAATCGGATCAACCAGACATAAAAAAGACAGGAATTATCTGGATTTATGGGCGAAGTTCGACTGAAAATACTCCATTTACCCCAAATTAGAAAAAAAAGTTCACTATCTGAGAAAAATCCTACACTAGTTCATGGGTTTACTGATGGAAAATCCTTGCAGTAAGCTGATTGACACTGGTTCTATAGTTCAACCCGATTTGCTAACGAAAGTTGGGTAGTTGCTTCTAGAGATGAAGAAGAGGAATTGATGCAAACAGCTAGTGGACATAAAGTTCCAGAAAAAGAGAAGTTGGAAGTTACCCTTACTATAGGAAGGTTCTTTACACCTCACGAGGTGTGGGTAACTGACGCTGAAGAAAAGTGCATCTTGGGAACTGACTTCATGTGGATACATGGATGTGAAATTAGACTAGCCTCAAATAGCTTTACATTATATGACCAGAAAATCCCTATGTATTAAATAACAATTACTATACCGGACGTTGAACTTCCAATGAAAATATGGAGGGGTTATCATACTACCAAGATGTGAAATACTCATATCAGCAATATACAAGCAATAAATTTACATCTAATAACTGGGTGTAGTGGAACCGAATACTCTGCCATGTCCTGAGGAATTGGTGGTTGGAATAGTTCTTTCAGCATATGATAAAACAAAATGTCACTATGATGTTGATAATGACAAAAATGTATGATATGGTATGGTATGGATGGACAGTTCTCATCGAAAGAGAGGGCAAACTACAAAGTTAAGAAAAGAATTAATAATGTGATTTACAGAATCCAGAAGTATAGCGATCCAAACCATTCACTGCAATAGCATTTGGAAATACATTGGCAAGAGAATAGCCAATGGGGTAACCACAAATAAGAATTTGTCTGTGAAAAATAAACCAGCTGAGGAGACAAGGGTTACTGTAAAGACTACTTCCAGAGGATCAACAAGTATAGAGCTGTCAGTGGATTCATCAACCTTTTATCTAGAAGGAACTCCCTCAGTGACATGACAGCTAGTGACAACAACAAAAGAGGACATTCCATCCGTATACCATGGACCTCAAAAGAAAAAAACCACCAAAAAAGGTTTGGTGAATTGTAATTTTAGAATATTGTTATATTTTTGTATTACTATTGTTGAAGGGAATTCACAATCCAGGAAGGGGGCAGTGTTTTGGGCTATATTTTGAATATTTTAATTTGGATGTTAACTAGAGAGCTTATGACGTTAAGATCAAGTAATTTTGTGGGAGAAGGCCTAGACCATTCTAGTAACTTTGCGAAGTATCTACAAGCAATGCCAGATTATATATACCAGAATCAGTGTTTTGTTTTCAGTGGGCAGTGCATAGCACATGAATATTGAGTCAGTAGAGTGTCAGCCAGTCAGTTTAGTTCAACGAAGTATTTGCTTTTAGTGAAGTTTTTGGATAAGGTTTAGCTAGTATGTATATTCTGTTGCTTGAAAGATTAGTCATAAAACTATAGAGGTAAGTTTATTTTTACGTTTGTCGCAGCATAATTAGCATAAATTGTGTTTCCTGTGAACATCATTTGTAAACTGAGACCTAAAAAAGTACAAGTTAAACAGCGTACAAGTGAGAGAAGAAAGTTATAAACTAAATTGTTATCGTTACTTGGACTGGACTTATTTTCCCCAAGTTATCTAAAAGAACCCGTCCAATAGGAGAACAATTTTACAAAAATAGTATAAAGGGTGCAGACTTTAGGTACATTATGAAAAGGTCCACCTTTTTGTGTGGTAAAAAAGGGTATGGTCTCTGATACTGCATCAAAGAGTGCATGCATCTGGGCAGTCTTTGCATTGACATATTTCTTCTTGTAACTCAGATGGTTCTGAACACCTGGAAAGAAAACGTTTTTACTTTAAGTCTAAATATTTTAAGTTTTTTCAGGAGTGATAATTATTCTTCTATATAATGAAAAACAATATACAGAAACAAGTTTTAAACTGAAAAGGTTAAATTAATCTCTTCTCTACTGAATGATTATCGACTAATTAAGATGTAGATTAACGTATACAAATGTTTAGGTACAAAACACTATAAAAAAGTTAATTGTCATGATTAGTAGGCCTATGACCGCCTGTAACCAATTATTAACTATTTTTTAATAATTAATCACTCAGTAGTTAGGCTATATGATCGCCTATAACCAATTATTAATTATTTTTTAATAATTAATTACTCAGTAGTTAGGCTATATGATGGCCTATAACCAATTATTAACTATTTTGTAATAATTAATTACTCAGTAGTTTTATCTTATATTTCGGCATTTATTCTACTGCCGTCTTCATGAAAATCCCAGGAATGGCTATTTTCTATGTTGGCAGAGAAAAAATCATGTAGCTTCTTGAAAGAAAAATCAGGCGTGTTACCCACTTAACTATCATCTTTTCGCTAGAATTTGAAACAACTTTTTGAATGTTAGCCCTAACACACAATAAAATATTTGCCTCAGATATAATTACAACCACTGAAGACACAATTTAAAGAATAGAGAGAAAAAGAAGAGCCCTGATCAAATCAAAACCACAAAATACAAACCCCACTATAATATCACCCTATCGTAAACTTGAAGAAATAAACAAACGGTACAAGAATGTGTTCCAAGAATGCTGCAAGTTGTTTGGCATCCGAAAGACCAAGACAATGCCACTTCACCCACAGTCCGATGGGATGGTAGAAAAGTACAACTGGACACTGGGACAGGAATTGACAAAGTTTTGTAATAGTCGCCAAGATGACTGGGATGTCTTACTCCCTCCACTGTTGATGGCCTGTAGGACAGCAGAGCATGAAACCACTGGATACACTCCAGCAAGTTGATGTTTGGCAGGGAACTTCGGTTGCCAGTGGATCTGTTAACAGGACGCCCACCTTATGAAGAGTTGCCTGAGAATGTGTCAGAGTTTGTGAAAGTGTTATCGGAAAGGATGGATGATATCCATCATCAAGTGCGTTCAAAGTTGAAAACGTCTGCTGATTCGATGAAGTTATCTTATGATAAGAGATCTACTGAAGTCAGCTTTGTACCAGGATGTGTGGTTGTATATACCCAGG